GCCTCTGGAAGCACGTAAAACCTTGGGGCGTACACCAGATCTTTCTCTAGTCAAGTCAAAAGACAATGCCCACCTGTGCCCCAGAAATGCCCAGATAAAGTTTATTACAAGATTGCTCTAATAAATTAAAACTAGAATTATGTTGTTAATTTTAAATCATATGAAGCACTGGATAAAAAATAAGAAAAAATAAGACGTTTTGTTGACATTGCAGTAGGTATGTATTATCGTTTCAATAATTAATTCATGCTTTATTTTTTTAGTTTTTGGAATCACGTCCTATGGCCCATGTAAAACTCAACATGATTGATATTAGTCATAAAAGTGATTACTAAGTAATCGAATAATAATATATTGCTTTACAACTAAACCAAATAAAAATATACTTATCTTCACGCACAATCCCTGACGGGGTAGCCAGAGAGAACAGATCGCCAAGTGTCACGATCCTTACATACCTCTTTCGCTTCTTTCAGATTCATTATCTTCTTCATACATGCACGTCTAGGTATCCGAGTACTCTTGACCCTACCCTCTTCGAGCAATTTGCTCACATGGTCTTCGAAAGTTAGTCTCAGTCTACCTCGACACCTTTTAATATTAACTTTCGCGCTATATATTTTCTTCACCATTCGGTCTTCACTCATTCGCTCAACGTGCCCAAACTACCGAAGCACGCCCTTATCAATTTTTGTGATAAGGTTATCTTTCAAACCTGCCATATTGCGAATCTCTTCGTTTCGGTTTCGGTCGGCCATGGTAACGCCGCACATTTTACGAAGAGATCGCATCTCCACTGCATTCAACTTGTTTTTATGCTTCTTCTGGCATACCCAGGTTTCGCTGCCATATAACAAAGTCGGTACCAACACTGCGTTATGTATTGCAAGGCGTGCACTCTTCACTACGCCTTGCCTTTTGACTAACGCAGTCAGGGCACCATTGACTTTGTTCCCGGCAGCGACACGCCTGTCCACATCTAAATCACATCTTCCATCCCGGCTAAAAGCACTCCCCAAGTATACAATTTCATTTACCTGTTCTAGACATTCCTGATTTACCCATATTTCACACTTCGTTCTCTCTTCGTCCCTTTCAAATACCAGAACCTTAGTTTTATTAGCGTTCAAACGGAGACCCTTAATTTCACATTCCTCTTTCATACACGTGACTAATGCCTGCAGTTCTGCCTCTGATGGTGCAATAAGCACTTCATCATCAGCATACAGCAGACAATTTACTTTTATGTCACCCAATTTCACACCCAAACAGCTATCTTTCAGCTTTTGTAAACAGCTGTCGAGATACAGTATGAACAGCCAGGAAGACATGACACAACCCTGTTTTACGCCCGTTTGGACGCTAAACATGGGTGACAGGTCATGCCCTACCCGCACACAGGCTTTACAGTCACAGTAAAGAGACTGCACAGCCCTTAGCAATCGGCCATCCACACCATACCCCGGCAACAGTTCCCACATTTTCTTCCTTACAACCTTATCAAATGCTTTCTCAAGATCCACAAAAGCACAGAAAATTTTCTGGTTAGCAGCCAGAAGCTTTTCCGTGATCATACAGAGAGAAAACATTTGATCCGTGCATCCTCTTCCAGGTCTAAATCCGCATTGTGCCTCCCATAGAAATCTTTCCGATTTCTCTTGCATCCTACGTGTCAAAACCTTCGAGTAAACTTTACTTGCTAAACTGGTCAATCTGATTGCCCGATAGCACCCGCAGTCAAAATGTGAACCTTTACCTTTATATAAAGGCACAATGACTGCGGATCGCCAATCATCCGGGACATCCCCCGTCCGCCAGCACAAATTGCACAGCAAATAAAAGCTGTCCCAGACGCGAAGCCCACCATACTTGACCATTTCAGCAGTTACTCTGTCTAGTCTCGCAGCCTTACCACATTTTAAACTTCGAATCGCACGTTCAATCTCTTTCATACTGATGACCTCAGTGTCATCGAGGTCCGGGTCTGGCGTACCAGTCACGGCGTCATCCCCGGATCCCTCACTAAGATCATCACACGCATACATTTCTCTATAAAATTCGCTCCATCGCTGCATGACGTCCGATTTTTCTGAGAGGACGTCATTAGTTCTCGAAAGCACTTTGTTCATTCTTAAGGCCGTCGCACCACTTCGGGTCCTTCCAACCTCTTTCCAGAAGAGTTTGGAGTTCCCCTTAAAGTTGTGCGACAACCTTTCATCCGCTTCCATTCTACACCTTTCACGCACTTCCTCAATCAATGCTTTCGTGTGAACTTTCTGCAGCTTATATCTTTCTTTCATCTTCTCTCTCATATCCTTATCATTACTAGAGGCCAAGTAGTCTAACCATGCTTTCTTCTTTTTCTTTACAGCTTCTTTCACTTCATCATTCCACCATGCATCTCTTCTTTTACTACTGCCTCTTTTTATTGTTCCACACACTTCTTCCGCTGCACTTACCATTCCATCCCTAAGGTTCTGCCATGTTCTTTCTACACATTCGTTTCTGCCATCGATGGTGTCAAGCTTTTCGGCTACCCTCGCATGATATTTGTCCCTAGTATCCGCTTCCTGAAGCTTCCAGCTTCGGATGCGACAGACCGACTGTGGTTCTGTCACTGTCGTCCGGTAGCGCCAACCCGCGAACAGACCCCTAAATCTAGTAATCACTAGATAGTGATCCGTTCCCAGGTCAGCACCCCTGAACACTCGCGTATCCATAACCTGTTTTCGCAGTCGGTCATCCACCAGGAACAAATCGATCATACTTTTCTCATTCTTTCTATCTCTAGTATACATATGGATTTTCTTGTGATTAAACATAGTGTTTGTCACAAGAAGACCCTTTTCCTTGCATACCGCCAGTATAAGCTTGCCAGCATCATTAACCCTTTTATCGCCAAACTTTCCAAGTATCGACTCGTACCCTGGTCGAGCGGTACCAACCCATCCACTCAAATCACCACATACAACAATTCTTTCGTTTCCCCTAGCCAAATCTAGAACTTCTCTTACATTCTCCCAAAATTCTCTTTTGGGAGAATAAAAATATGATTTTATAATAAACGTCATCAGATGAAAAAAAAAAAAACATGGCCCAGTTAAGCATTTATTTTTGTTATCAAAATCCAGAGACAAACTAGTTTTTACCAACGCCATTTATGGGACTATTTGTTTGTTCACCTATCCCTCATTGACAGTCTCTTAAATTATAAAATCTTAGGCTTTGTTTAGTTCGGGGCTTAATAATTGGCATGATAAATAAAATCTTCGAAAAAGGAAAGTGCGTAAACAATGAGAATATTTGGTCTAGTCTTCATTCAATAATAATAAACAACTATATAACGGGACAGCGCTTAAAATAATTCGAATGAATCTTCAAAAACGCCATCAAGTATTACTTTTTATATTCAAATATTTTTAATAATTATAGCTCTAATTTAAGTCAATATTTAAGACAGAGTTTAACTTTGAATTTGAATGTGAACTCGTAAATAGGTGGTAGATCAATCAACGGTCCTAGAACTTATGTTAACTACATATATATATATATATATATATATATATATATATATATATATATATATGTTAATACAAAAACTGTACGCTAATGAAATTATTTTAAATTTTTAATTAAAACAATTAACAAACATGTCAATTGTTCATTAAAAATATAACACCATGTATTTAAAGTTGAACCGAACTCGCAGCATGTTTACTTCGGCCCACGGCTATATGCAATTTGCTTGGAATAATCAACTTGAGCAAATGAACGCTCAACGTTCAGGAAAAGTTAACTCAAACAAAAGCAAAGAAATTGTAAACAAGTGTAGTTTTAATAAATAAGTACATATGTATCTGTTATTCCTTTTTCCTTTTTTATGGAAAAACACACTAGGATATTCTACTGTATCGTGGAGATAGTTTATAAACATAAATTTCACAAAGAAATACATCCAGACCCGGAATAACTGCTTGTATTCTACATAAATATTTGTTCCGTGTAGTATATAAAACCCATTGCTCTAACTTTTAACATAAAGTAAAAACCGACTTTAAATTGCTAAAAAAGTAGTTATATATTTGACACCCTAGGGTTGGATTTTTTTCTTTAATTTTTATGGAACCATCCTTGAAGTAAAAATTATTTATTAAAAAAATTGTAATTAAAATAGGTTCACAATCTGCGAAGAAATCTCGTAACATACATACAAAAAAACATATACTCAAATTGAGAACCTCCTGCATTTTATGTCTTTTTTTAGAAGATAAGGGTGAGAAACAAGCACACAGTCCACCTGATGGTAAGTGATTGCTGCCGCTCATAGACATCTACATCTCTCCTCGATTACGAATCAAAATGCAGATGTATCCAGTAAAGGAGTCTCCGGCTCTCTACACTCACCATACGAAACACAGCAGCGTTAAGCTGATATTTTACGTTGGTATTCTATGATAGCGTGATCCTTCCCCGGTCGAGCCGACCCATTCGTGGTACAACTATACCTACTACTAATATAGCTGCAGCATGGCTCTACCAATGTTAAAAGTCGGTTGAAAAGTAACTAAGAAAAGACTTTACTTCGGTTGATTTTAAGAAAGCTGACAGAGACTGTTTTAACAATAAAATATCATTTTGCGTATAAATTACGTTAAGTTTTAGCCTCTCCATTGGCCTTAGCCTAAGTGAAGAAACTAAATGTGAGTATACAAAGAGGTAGAGACTTCGGGGTGAATAACAAACACACTCTGTTGCATTAGGGTACGGAGTGGTGGCGCTTCGAATTGTATGTCAAACACACCGTTATTCTGAACGTCTCTCCGAACGCTTTTATTTCAGAACTTACACTAAGCTTCCAGTAATAACACAATTTTAAATTGATAATAACTGACTCAGACCAACGTTAACATTTTTATTCATGGATAAAATGCTAATATTATTCCAAAAGTAGTAAAACATATCATATTAATTTAAAAATATAATTCTGATGATAGACTTACCGTCCACACTTACGCCCATGAGGTCAGCTTGGAATCCGAGTACAGAGAAAATAGCAAACCCCGCGTATACCGAAGTTAAGAAATTTGCGAAGCAAACGAAAATTGTGTCAAAGTGGCAGTTATTATAAAAGTTGTTGTAGGAAGCCAAAGTAACTAAGGATCCACAAGCGACTCCAAAAGAATAGAAAATCTAAAAATGGAAACAAATGAACGATTAAAATTATAAAGTAATTTTGTAACTTCACAATATTATTAAATAACTTCCTTACACCTACAATAAAACATTACTATAAACAAAGTCGATGGATACAGGTGGTTTAGGACTATGTTTTGTAGCTTTCCTTGTAGGAGACCTATGTTCAGCAGTGGACTTATTTTCACAAGTTAGGCTGTAGGTATCGACGATGATGGTGATAACGTGCAAATATTTTTACGAAAGGTAAGAGCGTGAGTCTCAAAAATGAAAACAAAATTGGTAGTAGTTAATAGAGCAGCATTCACTCGCTGTATTCGCTTCGCTATATTATTAATGAAAAAGCCAGAACTATTAATTACTTTAAAAAAATGTCAACAGCAGCAGGTTTTCCTATTAACAAATAATAAAATCTTTGTAATTTTGAAACCAGAATGATTAAAATCAGTTCTTTAAGTTGTTTGATAAAGGCATTGACTTTGAGATGAGGATAATTTTAGCTAATTCATCTCTTTCAAGAGATTGATGTTCGTCGCGAAAGTTTCGAATTTCTAATTGAAGTCAAAATATCTTATTTAAGCAAAACGAGTTAAAACTGCAATTAGTTTCGCATAGTTTAATGAAATTGAATTGATTTAGTTACAAAACAGGACATAAAACTTTTTGATGTTTAATTTAAAAATGTAGTAGGTATAATAAAATATTTTAATAGGACCTTGGATCCAAAAAAGCAACTCTGAGGCCGTCGGTATTAAGAAACAATCTTAAGCACAAAATTCACAATGTCAAAATTGGCGCAGCATAATTACTCGTATGGTCTAGACTTAAATTTTGGCATTGTGAAGTTCGTGTATAAAGTCGAGATTGCCCCTAAATATCGGCAAACCTGAAAGAAATTTTATACGCGGTAGAGCCATGCTGCAGCTATATTAGTAGTATAGATGCAGCACGAATGGGTCGGCTCGACCGAGGAAGGACCACGCTCTCACATAATACAAGCGTAAAATAGCAGCTTTACGCTGCTGTGTTTCGTATGGTGGGTTTAGAGAAACGGAGACCATTTTTACTGGAAATGAGGCATTACATCATAGCCCTCACGGGTGGCAACGCATCTGCATTTTGATTCTTTATTGAGGATAAATGTAGATGTCTATGGGCCGCAGCAACCACTTGCCATCAGGTGGACTGTGTGCTCGCTTGTGAACCTGATCCTATAAAAAAAAGTAGTGCATATTAATATTTCAATTTTTTACTGATAATCCTTTTACTAAGATATCCAGCGGTGATGATTTTATGACCTTGTTAGAAAGAGGAATATAAATATTATTATAATATGAAAGAGATGACAATAGGAAGATATCAACCATGCACGAGATAATCTAGATGAACCCGAAGTAATATATACTCATAACCTTAAAAACTTTTATAATTTAGAATTCGAGCCAAGAAGTTACAACTGCTTAAAGTTAAGAATACGAATCGCGAACGTCCTGAAAGTCCTGAGTTCAAATCCATCATTCGATTACCCTCGTGAACCATTTTAAGCCTACTTGGAGTGGCAACGGAAATAATAGTAATGTTAATAATAGCTTAGTAAAATTGCTATACATAATATTATCTAAAAACAAACACACACTCACACATGCCCTCACGCACGCACAAACACACACTCTCACACACGCACTCGCGCACGCACTAACACACACACACACACACACACACACACACACACACAATGCGTGTAATAAACGTATTTGTAAATACCTGAGAAGCGGCATCTCCCCAAACTCTTGCTTCTGCAAGAGTGCTCCAATCAGGCGACAAATAAAATAATATTCCATCTGATGCTGCATCTAAAGTCACTCCTCTAATCAGTAATGCAGTTAACATTACGTAGGGGAAGAGTGCTGTAAAGTATACGACTTTACCTGCTGATTGTACACCCTAAAAAGCAAATAAATTTACTACTAGTCTACTAGTCTGTTAAAAAATGTTCGTAGTACGACCTAACTGCAGCGTATAATGGCTGCAGTACGAATACATCGCACGTGTGTGCACGTAAGAGGGCATAGTAAGATAATCCATATCTCTATTTCATCTTGTAGGTGTTGTAAGAGGCAACAGAGTAAAAGCGAAATGGGTCGCCAGCCGTGGAAACTATGGGACTAATATCCCCCTATGAGGAAATCTATGGAAATGGTTTATGTTCAGCAATGGACTTAGATATGCTGTAATGAATGACTCAAGGACGATAATGACGGTTAGCCAAGGAAGCACTAGGTCACCCTGAATACCAGGGTCAAATGTAACAATGTACAATTATAACATCAAATTGCCTTAAAGTGCCATCTTATGGTGTTAATTAGATAGATAGCGATACAAACATCTCAAATTAATATGAAATATCCACAGACGAGCATCGTTTGCTATTTCGTCTGCCAATTCGCTTGCCAAGCATGACAGACTGATAATGACGATTACATTAAAGTGACAAAGATGTATGGAGATTACTTGATGTTGGCAGGTTGCCTGAATGTGGAAGTAGCTCTCATGAGCACGTGCACCCAACTTTTTTTACTATTCTAAATCAGCGCTTGAGTACTATATCACCAATGATGATGCAGCCGAAGATGGTTAATCGCACAGACTTCAAAAAACCACCTCAAAAATAAATTTAAAGTGCATTTTCATTATTGAGGACTAAGATGGAATTTCATCAAACCCTTACACAACAGCGAGAATACATTGCTGTTTGGTTGTAAAAAAGGCCAGACTTACACAAAAAGCCTAACCACCTAAAAAAAATTAACCCTACTCGAAATGCTCGGACTACACTAACGCCTAATGTCTAATATTCCAATAATTAAGACGTAAAAAATATGGCATTCAACTACTAGTTAAATAGAGTGGTAACACTTGAATTTAGCATCCCATGCATTATTTTCAAAATGGACATTCACGCGGATTCCTTTATCATGATTTTATTTGGAATATTCCCAAAAACTCAATATTTATTTATTTTTTTATTTGTCTACCCCATTGATCCATTTTATAAAAAATATTTACGTACGATATATTTACTTTTAGCTATGTGACACATTTATTCCTGTCATCCTGAGAGATAATAACTCACTCACTAAGATCACTACACGCATTAAAAAACGCGCAAAGTTTTATAAGTGTGCCAAAAAAGAGCTGGGTATCGTCTAACGTTTAGCGGTATTTTAAATACCATTACAAAATTAGCGCATTGGGTTGTGACTACGCCTATGTCTAGTTCCCATTAACGCAATAATTAAAGATGTTAAGCGTTAATGTGGCCCGAGCAAAATAATAATCAATATCATGCAAATTTTACGAATATTTTGAACAACATTGTTACTGTGTTTGTTACAAATATCTAACGTAATAAACTAACAATTATGAGTTGTCTAAATATCTGTCACAATAAAGCAACTTACAAACACGTATACAAATACAACATAAACATACAGCTAAATATTTAACTCACTTTAATAACACAAAAGAATGCGATAAGCCAAGAAAAGAAAAGGCATCCGACAAGATGCCACTGAATTGTTCCCCAGTTTTCCCAAGTGGCATTGCCTCGGCCTAATACACGCTCACTGCAAACACAAATTTAAATTGACTGAAGGGTTTGTTTTTCATCAGAAAACCGAAGCAATATTTTAACGTCATCTAAAAAAAACCTTTTCTTTACTAATTATACGTATATCGATTCCATCTTCGTAACACGTTTAACTGCAATTACTGGCAACTCTTAATATATAAAAAAAAACATCATTATATTGGAACATTGATGATCTAATGAAGTTAAAGATTAATAATTTTATTACTAATGATTATTAAAACTAATGACTTAATTTAATAGTTTTTGATTTCACTCATCACTACTGCATTGAAAGATATTTTCAAGCTACACCTTCGACGATGTAGTCATTATGATAGAATCACCCTCTACCAACTTCTAAAAAGTGTCTTCCAACGGACAGGTCGTAAGGTGTACATGAACAAGACAAAGGTCATGTGTAACGTCCATTTCACGGGCATGTTAGTTGTCGGGAACACTATGCCCGAAATTGTTGATGAGTATGTTTACTTAGGACAAATTGTCCGACTAAGTAAGTCGAACTTTGACCAAGATAGTAAGCAAGGGATCTAACTCGGCTCTTTTGAGAGATTACAACACAAATTCTTGAAACGTATTGCAGCATTGACTGTAATGGAGTTTGAGTCTCTTAAAAATAAATTAGATTAGAATTGTATCCTTGGTAATTTTTTTTTCGGCATAATTTCTTATTAACATAAATTCCCAATTCAAATTTAACCGTACAAATTAATAGTTTATCATTCTATCAGATATCAATTTATCAGATACACTAAAAGTGTTCCTGCTAATAAGAACCCACTAACTCTTCCTATTTTATTCCATAGAATACTTGAGAATACTAAATCGTCTAGCATTACCTCAGAAATATTTTCCTAGCAAAGAGATACTCGTAAAAATCTCAGTGTTGCTCAGGAAATCAGCGATCGATTCTTACCAGTACCAATGATACTGTAAACAATTTCAAGTGTTACTACGAAAACCTAGTGAGGGAACCGGCACATTTGTGGAATGAAATATTGAGAGAACATGTGACGCCAACACGCTCACGCATTCGGTGGACTAATTACCAATTACCCTTATAAATAAAATAAATAAAGTAGGTACATAAACACTTCTGTAACAGATTAATAAATATTTTATTGGACAGGTAGAGTTGGAAGATTAAATTATTTACTAGGTTATTATTTAATATGCAAGTTGAAATATTTTGCTTTCCTACTCATTTTTCTAAGCAATCATATTGGTGACGGAAGAGCTCTTAATATTGCCAATTGGTAATGCTTCTTACCATCACGAGTCTTTGGAATTTAGGCTGGGTAGGTGCTCATCAGACCTAGTTCGTTAATTAGCTCCACTTGTACAAGAGGTGGGCAGTTAAACGTAGTTATTTCATTACCCTTACAATTTTTTTTTTCATTAAAGAAAAATAAATAAAATCCTCTTCTAAGAAAAATAAATAAAAACTAATAAAGGTTAACGACCTCGACTCTGTTCATGATGCCCGTAATATCCATCCTTAATCAAATATGTTTATAACTCGGGATTTATAGAATTATCAAAGAAACGTGCACTCGTAAATTTTATGTGATTAGTTAATTTATAGTAATAGATATAAGTAATTCTAAAGCTAAAATGTATTTAGTAATTTTAAATAGTTAATGCAAAATTAAAAATAAAATTGTTTGCTGTGGTTTATAAGCGTCACTTTTTTTAAATACAAAGGATCTTCCAACGTAATGCTTGTGCTTTTAAATCACATTAAGGTTGAAATACAACTAATATTAAAGCCATGGAGACAAACAACAAAATCGAACTGAAAAACAAATTATCCCCATAGTAAAGTTTTCATTGTGGTATTACGTATCGTGGGAGCTTACAGATAAATAATATGCAGCCAAAGTTTCATGTGCAATTTGAAAATAAAAGTAAAGTTAAATACGTCCAACTGCTGGGCATAGGGCTGCCGGGAAATGCTTGCCGATCTATTCCAATGTATTTGGTGGACTTGACAAGTTTTTGAAATACTTTCTTTAACTTTTTCAAGTATGCATGTTTCCTCACGGTATTTTCCTTCACTACCGGGCTCGTGATAAATCAGCGCTTAAGATTGCAACTATTTCTTTGATTGCTCGCGTACTGTGAAATTTATAGCGAGCATTTAGCCGCTGAACTACAACGGCTCCCTTAACAATTTAACTATCAATACTTTACAAACTTGTTTCGTGCAGGATGCGAACGCGAGATATAATATCGTTGTAACCAAAAGCTTAGTTATTGTCTTTTTACATAAAATTTTGGTTTCCTTCACGGGTTATAGGTTCGAGTATACTAGATTACGCTATCGGAAATTCGAACAACGAAAACCAACTTTTATTAACCTTGATATAAAATTAATAAAATCAAAATAAAAAAAAGCTCTTGTCTTTTAACTTCAGTTTATATAACTCAGTTGTTGTTCTAGTAACGCCATCGTCAAAAAATTACCTCAACTATTTATAACTGATAACCATCAATCGATAAAGTCTAATCGATATCAGGCGTTGACACTTGAATAACAACTAGACATTCTTAAACATGGATAATATCAAATTTCTTATAAGGATAACAATATTTAGAAATTAAACCACCTAACAAATAATGAGATAAAATCTCTTAATTTAACGTTTGAAATAAAGAAAACCATTGTTATGCTTTGCTTAATATTGATGTTGCAGTTCAATATATTTTACTATTATTTTTCGGTCTCTTTAATTTCATCTACTATAAATCTACACAGTTCTTCTTTCATATCTAAGAGATCTAATTATTTATAGATTTTACGAGTAAATATTGACTTAAAAAATATTGACATATTTTGTGAAACTTTAAATGGTACCCCATGTTATAAATGGAGTTATGGAGATACCACTAGAAGGTACCTTATATATATATATATATATATATATATATATATATGAAGAGATGTTACCAATATGCTTTCTTTTATTGTTCTCTTTCATTGTCTTATATTTGTTGTATACATATTATAATTTAAAAGCACATGAACAATACGCATTTTTCATGATCTGGGATGTGAAGAACTAGGACATGGTCATGAAACTATTACATTTTCATCGGTCTTTAGTAAATTTACAACATTTTAGATTATTCAGATGTTTGTGATAACTGAATTATAAAATTTCATTACATTCATACCGCCATGGAGTGGCGTGTACACGTGTGTGAGTGAACCCAATACCTACTATTATCCCGTGGACGTCATAAGAGGCGACAGAGGGAAATGAATTAGGAGATGAAGGGCAGCATCCTACTGGTGACTCAAATAAATATAAACTGAGGATGTCAATCCGCCTGCGGCTGGTCATCTATTGCAGTGGCCCATGTTCAGTAGTGAAGTTATGATAGGCTGTAATAGAATGGTACATACACAACGCATACATACATACAGGCCAAGCTAACTAAAGCTTGGTATTAAAATACTACTTTATTATCTTACTGTGAGTAGCGATTCTATCTACGTAGTGGAGAAATTTAGTACGGTATTGAAAAAAGTCACTGTTACTTGTAAAGTTTTCTTGTAAAGTTTCACCGCCGCGCCGCGCCGGGCTGCATGATTATACTATTATTTAATTTTCTTATGTAAAATATAGAATAAAAGAAGAATGATATGTAAAAGAAGAAGTGTAAAGAAGTTTTATTTCTTACGTGTGTACAAAGATTTTGAGAGAAGGAGAGTTTATTGTAATTTGATGCTACCAAGCCCAATATGTTGTATATAATATTAAATATCATTCAATATATCACAGACTTATGCAATCAAAAATAAGATATAAACTCACTTATAATATTCTTCAGCAGCAATGACTCTTCGTATATTGGTATACCACGGTATAGTTTCAGTGCCATTTAAACAATATTTTCCGTCATATGGTTCAAAACCAGAACTCAAACAAATTTCTCCAATGCTCTTACACTGCCTCATGTAGTAAGTTAAATCTGATGCATCTCCAGTATTATTAATTCTACATTCAGCGTCGTAAATACCACTGTAACAAACTGTTTTAAATTTTACTCTAAAAGGATCTATATTGAAAGATAATAATAAAAATAAATATAATAGAAATGATTTACAAAATTATTAACAAATTTTGAGTACTTTCTTTCGTTCCTTTTTTATTGAAATTTAATTTGCTGTACATACATTTTGGCTATGAAGTAAAATCTAAATATTTGATAACTATAAAATATATACGATCCGATAATTAAACCAAAACCCAAACAGTCCTCACAAACATATATTACAAGACTTCAAAAAAAGCTGAAGTTAACCTGGCTTTACTACGAAAATATCTAATTAAAACCAGGTTAATGTATAAAATTCCTTAATTTCTCCATTCATAGTAGTTAAATTTATTCCTTAGTACATCTAATCTAAAAGAAGACGTTTACGATACATCTTAGTATATTTAGTCAGGTGTGAAACATGTGGAAGTATATGATTTCCTTTATTGTAGATAAAATGAGTAAAAGTAGTTATTAATCTAATGTTTTTTTTTAAAACTGTGGGTAAAATTTAAAAATATTCAAATATCAAAAAGTAGAACTTACAATCGGTATTATATTCGTTTTCACATGATCCCCAATTCAAGTATCCGCCTATAGATACAACAGTGTAAAACAGCGTCCATGAAACTATAATCATGTAGTAAATACTAATAATACTGATCACCACTAGTGTACAATAGCCAAGACCGCTGAAAACTGGTCCAATGGCACCAAATGCTTTTAAAGGACCCAGACTTGTGTACTGTCCGATGTATAATTCCAGGTAAAATAAGGGCAGACCAATTAAAATCATCATCAAGAAGAACGGTATTAAGAATGCACCTGAAACAAAACACATGCAGTCTTATTACAAAATGTTGCTCAAATTTATTCCCAGGCATAAGCTAAAATCTGTTTCACTAAAGAAGTTCAGTGGAAATATGGAAACTAACATATAATGTTCCTTACATCTTACAGCAAATCTAAAAATTCACGATGACGGTCTCGCAGCGGCTAAAGAATTTCTTCCGTTACAAAATAAACCATATTTTGTAACAAGGCGGTAACTACATAATCTTTATAACCAATTAGCCTGGTGATCTACTAATACAATGTAACGAAAATTGTTTGTTGTTCTGTTTTCTTACATTTTAATTTAAATTCTTCGCTGTATCTATATTAAATATGGAACACACACTGTGCATTTGCGTACGTGCGTGCGTGTGTGCATGTGTACGTGTGTACGTGCGTGCGTGTTACGTCCGTCATCACGCATTAGCACAGAGGCGATGAACAGGCGGTAGACTTTCCTTGCTTTAAAAATTTGTTAAAAATGAGCAGAGGCCAGTGTTCGGCTGTGTGTTATTTTATACTATTTTATATTAAACCCACAAGCATACAGAATATAATACAGATGATTCAAATAACTTTACAAAAAGCCAGGATAATATAGTATATATAGATAAGCCAGGATAATAGCTTAAAAACTTTAGTTAAAAAATATAATATTTCACAAAAACCATAAACAATAAAGTAATTTCCAAATTAGTACCGCTGCTTTGAATACAAGTCGAAGTAATTATGTGGAATTTAATTTATTCATTTTGGATTCCTTGACCTTTTTGAGAATAAAATAAGCTCAAATGTCGTCTAAATTGTTACAGTAAAAATAACCTTTATTTTTCCACTCTAAGGTGGTACAACTTTTTCATTCAATTTACATAAGACCACTTCTGAAGCATGTATTGTTTGATAAAAGAATCATTGAAATCGGTTCCCAATTGACGAAGATATTGCGTAACAAAAATACAGAAAAAGAATATATAGTCGAATTGAAAATCTTTTTTGAAGTAGACTAATTATAATATAATATTTTGTCTGTAATCGACATTGGAACAACCAATTTTGTGTTAATGTTAACTGTAATATGCCTTTTTGTTGTATATAATTATAACGTAGAAATACACACGTCCTGCAATTATAAACGCATTAATGTTTTGTAGCTTCAAATCAAAATATTTCTTTCTTGATAGAATCCTGTCCAAACTTAACTGTTCTCTTTGTATATTATTTTATTTAAAAAAAATGAAAATGCGTGGGGAAAATATATATTTTTAAAAATAAAACAAGGATATTATGATATGATTTTAAATTTAAAGACAGGTTTTTAACTCACTACAAAAAGAGGAGGTCCACCTGATGGTAAGCGGTTACTGTGGCCCATAGACTTCTAAATCTTTCTTCGATTAAGAATCAAAATGCAAATCACGCCTGAGGACTAAGATGGAATGCCTCGATTCCAGTAAAAGCGGTCTCTGGTTGTCTACACACTCACCAAACGAAAAGCATTAAGCTGCTATTTCGCACTGGTATTCTGTGAGATCGTGGTTTTTCCCCGGTCAAGACGGTTTTTTTTTCTGTTAACATTGTGTGAGTGTTACGTAGTGAGTTCATGAACGTGGATGGCGCTTGCAACCTCCAGCACGGAGCGTGGTCCGCGTGGAGCTACCAACATTGCTATAACGATATTTATTTGTACATTGACACACGTGTGCCATCCGTTTCGAAGCTCTGCGTAAACCTCGAGAATACCATGTATGTATATTAAAATTGACGCCGAAACCATGCTTAACTTCTTGACACACACTCACGCACACATCTTTCTTCTTTCTTTTAAAGCCTGTAAGTGTGTGCTGCTGGGTGCACATTTATGCTACTTAAACCAAGTGCGTGATTGCGTCGTGTACCAATAAGTTTTGACTTGGTTTCGACGTGACTTGAAATACGCAGCGTTTCGCATATCTTTCTTTGTTGGTCGGAGTAAGCTAGTCTATTATATTTATTTCAGCTTATTATAGCCTCATCTAATCCCGATTATTTCTCATGATATATTATAATAAGAAATTTCATTTAAATCAAATGTTACCGGAACTGTCAATATATAAGAAGTTAATTATTTTCCATACCACCACCATTCCTGTAGCATAAATATGGAAACCGCCAGACATTCCCCAATCCAACGGCGTATCCCAGACATGCTAATATGAATTCAATTGGCCGTCCCCATGATGCTCGTTCGGGTGGTCCAGTAGATGAATTGTCCTGAACTGGTAACTTGCCATTAGATTCAACCTTCAAAAAATAATAGAAAAATAATAATTAAAGAGTTGTAATTTTCTGTAGTTTATTAATAGGATTGAGCCGTGGTAGCTCAGATGATTAGCGCTTGCTGTAAGTTTCACAGTACGCGAGAAACCCGGGTTCGATCCCCGCCGGCACCAATAAAATTGTTAATTGCAATTTTAAGTGCTGATTTACCACGTGCTCGGCAGTGAAGGAAAACATCGTAAGGAAACCTGCATGTCTGACAAATAAGAAGAAAATATATATATATTTCGAAGACATGTGAAGTTCGCCAACACGCATTGGGGCAGCGCGGCGGACCTTTCCTTGCCCTAAAACCCTCTCAGAAATGAGAAGAGGCCTGTGCCCAGCAGTGGGACGTGTATATAGGCTGTAACTTTAACTTTAACTAACTTTTATTATTTGGAATGATATCGGCATCTAGAAAGGCATTATTAGTCAGTCCTTCGTTAATAAAAGCATCGATAGATTCGGAACCACTAGTATTTCACCGTTATAAATTGTGTAAAGCAATGCGATCATAAAAAAAATCCATACAATATTTAAATATCTCAGTGTATTTTTTTCTTTTACGTAAAGAAAGATTTAGATATTCTTAATCCTGTCATTTCTAGAATTAAGTTTGATATCGTGGCATGTCGCCGTGTAGTCACAGCTTAAGAGAATCCACTATCCTACATCATCCCGAGGAAAATGAAATAGAAGATGGCCAGCCTTCCTGATAACAGTACATAATAATAAAAAACTGCGGTTGCCAACCCGGCTGCCAAGCGTGGCAACTATGGCAAATGTTCCTGTATAAGGCAATCTAAAGTTCAACAGTAGACTTTCAATAAGCTGTAACAAACAAATAAATGATTAAATAAATCGTGACAACATACAACGATGTCTAAAATTTGCAAGGAATTACAATTATATAATACACAATAGTTTTATAAATAGTTAGTGGAATGGGGAGGATATGATAACTTTATTCCAAATGCCAACCTATACGCTATTCACCTTATGGGTGAAAATATATTCTAAACCGCTGAACAAAATTTTTGGGACTTGTGACAGTGCCCCGCTGCAGATGTTAGATGGCTACATCATCGTGACTCGATCGGGGAAGCACGAGGTCTTCGTATAGAATACCAACGTGAAATTACAATAATAGTTTCGTGTGGTACGTGCATTAGAATCAGAGAACTATAGTCTTTGCATTAAATCATGGTGCGGGTGACAACTTACAGTTTGGCGTGTCTAGAGATGGTACAAAGTTTAATCGATTTAAAAAAGGCTATTAAAGATACACAAAGCAAAGCAAAATTTATCGATTAGCTATCAATAAAAAAATTTTAATATTTAATAAATACTTTAATTTAAGGTTAAGCTATTTCAATGGGACGACCGGATTTGGACCACGCTCTCACAGAATACCAGTGTAAAATAACACCTAAAAGCCGCTGTGTTTCATATGGTGAGTGTAGAGAATCGGAGACCCTTTTTACAGGATACGAGGCATTTCATCTTAGTCCTCAGGGGCGACAATGCATCTAAATGAAAAATGTAGATGTCTATGAGCCACAACAAACACTTCCCATCAGGTGGACTGTGTGCTCATTTGTCACCCCTATTCTATCAAAAACAAACTACGTCCAACGAAGAAAAGACGTCTCAGTCTTATATTATATGTATTATATTTTATAATCCGAATAAATTTTATTAACACTTTAATAATTATATAAACATATAAAACTAATCTCAGTATACTATTCCATTTTTGTTATTTTTCTATACCATAAAACCGGAGGAAGTTGAATCAAAGTTGAATAAACTTGAAGTGAACGTATTCGTGGAAGGTTTTTGAAGTTAGATTAAATTGTAAACACTAAGAATTTATTGTGAATAACTCTACACACCTCAAATGAAAAAATTAATTGTTTCAATTTATTTTATAATTAAGCTCTGTATGGAATTAAATAATTTTGGTTACAACATTTAGGTTTTTTTTAGAATATAAATTATTTTTAAATGGGTGGTGGTGGATTCATATTAACAAAGGTCTTAAATAAATCAAGATTCAATATTTCTTTTGTTAAAATTAATCTGCGCATTAAGTAATTAATGAATTCAAACAAAGTAGATTATTAGCTAGAAAAATGAAAGGCAATTCAATCGCGATTGGGGGTTTACGTAACCTTAATTTTGATTACAGTTTTATCAATTATAATTACTGTCATGATAATCTGATTAATTATATTAATTAGCGTTAAGTCTCTTTCGTTTGGTCGAAATATGTAATGTTTTAATCGGGCAGTCCAGAAGGAGGGCTATGATTTTTTTTTACAAAAATGAAGTGACTTACAACCACCTGATTGCAAGTCGCTACACTATTTCATAGAATGCATGAACACATGCAGTTAATTTCAATCAAATAATGCTACCGACACGTTTTTATCTTTGAGGATCAAAATTATAATAGACGGATCATATTTACATATATTTATCCTGCGCCTGATCCCGGTCGAGTCGGATTACCGTTCCATCGAACTATAAAAGTAGTGATTGGAAAGTGCAACTGTGTTTGTACGTACACTCGTACTCTTTAAACCTGTCCTGCGCAAATGGCTAGTCTCCGTTGAGACTGACTGCCGTGATCGAAATTCAGTCTAGAAGACATTAAATTATATATTTTTCTACTGCTTTTTTGAACTTTTTCCGAATCGTGCACGGGGTTGAGGAAAACATCGTGAGGAAACCTGCATATCTGAGAAATAACAAAAAAATATTTCAAAGACATGTGAAGTTCCCCAACACGCATTAAGGCAGCTCGCAGGCTCTCTGAAATAAGAGGAAGCCTGTGCCCAGCAGTGGAACATATATAGGCCGTAACTTTAAGCGACGTGGGCTATGGACAGATAAAGCCCTGGTGAATAAATGATTGTTTAATAGTCTACATAAATGTGAAGTGTTCAAATACCACAGACTGATAGGAGGCAGAATTGCAAGTAAAGGTGTTTTCTGTGTTTTGAGTTTTTTTTTTAATAGAATATTGGTGACAAGCAAGCACATAGTCAAAGTAAGTGAATGCTTTGGTCTATAGAGATCTATCTTAGATTAAGAATTTAAAATCATGCATATGCATTGTCACCCCTGAGGACTAAGATGGAATTCCTCGTTTTCAGTTAAAGAGGTTCTCTACACTCATTATATGTTTCTTAACACAGCAGCATAAAGCTGCTATTGCATGCTGGCAAACTGTAAAAGCTTGTTCCTTGCCCGGTCGAACCGACCTATTCGTGCTACAATCATAATTATATAGCTGCAGCGTGACTCTTACACGTGTATGAGAATGAGCAAGTCTCTCAAGAAATATATATATATATATATATAAATTTGCACATTTTTTTTAAAGGCAACGTCCAGAATTGGTTAAAGGTAAAGCATATCATATCATATGTATTAAACTACATACAAATTTATGATATGATTTAATTAAGTCATAAGCGAAGTGTGGGCCCTTCTAGATGTAGTAACGACATAGATACAACGAGGTAGACTTTCAAGAAGTTATTATATTATATTCTATAATATATTACTAAAGAAATATGTTCAGCAGTGGAATTGTAAAAGGCTATGATGTTTGATCATGATAATACAATTTAAGTTGACGGATATTTATATTATAATAAAAATTAACAGTTTTTCATGAGTTATACAAATAATCAACAAAACCGTAGATTGGATTATATAGTAAACATTAACACAGCCGTTTACCTATAAATTATTACTTGTCACGTTTGCAATATGAATTATTTTTTGAACATAGCACATATTCATTGCATATAACACATAAAAATAAATAAAATAAAGCATTTAGTTTCCTTAGACTTTCGATTTAATGCATAAAGCTGATAAATTAGCATTAGTGAAAAAAAATAACATTACACTTGCCTCGCTCATAGTGTAATTTCCACCAGCCATTTTCTACGGCAATTTTCGGAGTCGTCGTGCTGCAACCAACACCTTTTGTTGTGAAACATATGCACTGAACACAGAAGCGGTGTTTGAAGCATGCGACTAAAATTTGTAAATACCGTTATCGTTCAACACACAATTCTAACTGCCGAAATATTAGCCAAAATTCTTTATTAAATCTTATCTAAGAATTCTGATAAATTGCGTATGATAAAAAGTAATAACCAATATAATAACTAACCATACACATAATATGGCAGCTTATCTTTGATTTGTAAAATTCAAATAATTGTTGCTAATTGTTCTGCTATTTACTTGTCTTTTAAGTGTATTGAAAATCAGTTTTAAGAAACTTAACACATTCAATGTCCGGTTTCAGGCTCAATAGTAAGACAACAGCAATGTACCATATGTGACTCATGGGACAGGTAATGGGTTAAGCGAAACTTTTACGTTGAGATAATGGTCTAAAAAACTAATACAAATCGTATAAATGTCACTTTTTCTAATTAGCGCTTTCATCAAAAATTTACGATAAAAGATACAAATCTGCAAAAGTAAAAAGTTAAGGTACGAGTAGAGCCTATATACACCTCATTGCTAGATATAGGCCTCGTTTAATTTCTGAAAGGGGTATAGAGTAATTAGTCCGCGATGCTCAAGTGCGTGTTGATGGAATTCATTACATAATCCTTGAGAAAATTCACTTACGATTGATGTCGGCGGAAATTGAACCGGGTTGCTTGCGTACTGTAAAATTTACTGAGTTTAATGGAATCAAGCGTTAAGCCTCTGAGTTACCAAGGTTTTTAGCTACTTCAAATCTTCTGAAAATAATTTTATGTAAATAGCAACTGAGGTAAACTGTTTTTGATTAAAAAAAACGAGTGGTTAACGAAGCAGAACACGCAGAACAGCGTTTGTGGATAACGCAACAAAAACCATGTCCTAAACCAACAATGTCCACAATATTTTAAACATCATAAAGTTAAAGAAATATTGTAGGTTACCTAGACAGGGCAATTTCAAAAATGATGCAAATGACATATGCCTTGACATAATCTATTAAAATTGTCTCTAGCCCAATAGAAGTACGAGTACTTAGAGTAATAACAAATATAATACATGTGTATACAGAAGTACTAAGCCCTTTTTCGCCATACTGAGCCAATTTCCTATTTGATAATATGGACAAATCTGTAGATGTAAACGACTGTTACCAATTATAAAATGGCATAGTAAAATAAGATATTTAATGGAATCAAGCGTTTCTTTGCGGAAATCCCTTTTTGATAAAATGTTAATAAATGTAAAACATGGATATAACTGCAACTAAAGAATATTCACTCAATATCTTCGTCAAATATGAAACAATTTTGATGTTTTTTTTTATTATATTTTAGTGGTGGTACCCATAGAAATTTCAAGAAATAACAACTCTTAGTGGTGGTAAAATAGGGGATGATGTTTTAAGATAACTAGACGACATTGAGATTATCATATGCCATAGTCCATTAAAAAGGGTAACATTAAAAACCGTAAGTAAGATTCGGGCCGTTAATTTTTCTATACACTTTGTCTTAGCACTAACTTCAGGACGTAAAATTATTTTGTTCATTTTTACTCCTTTAAAGTCTGCTTTTAGTTTTTATTATAGGTGATTTTTTACATTGATATTCTATGCGAGTGAGTTCCTTTCCCGGCCAAGCCGACCCATTCATGCTACAAACATAATATGAAGATTAATGGAAGAGTAGTAATTTACAGCATTTATTTAATCTTTTTTTATGAAAAATATGTCATAGTCGCCACGCTTTACCTGCGATTTATTATTACCAGATAGATCACAACTTATCAAACTGTATTTACATGCAATGCAATAATTATGAGTAACATTTCATATTTTATTAATAGAAACACCTATTGAAATTTTAAAGGTTGTTATAAATGTTTTAAATGTATACTCCTGTTTTTGCAATCCGCCATATTCCTAACCACTAAAAGCACGGATAACAAGTATCGTCATTGTTAAATATCATTCATTTCTGTTATCATTGGCTCTCTGTCTGCAAGTATAAAATACTCTTGGAACTGTGGCAGCTCTGTCTACGATAAAGTTGTGCAGTTTTTCAATCCGTCGCTTATCGATAACCGCTACAGATATAATGTTAGCTTAAAAACTACATTGATAATTCATTTAAATTTTTTACAAGTATAATATACTATGCCTATTTTTAACATAATAAAATTTACAATAATTTAGGTGGAAACTACATAAATAGTATATTTTTAGTATTTTTAAATTATGTATCTTTTATTATTTTTTTTATATTTACCTTACTAAATATTCTACTTCTAAAGTTCTTGCCATTTGCGAGGTGTTGATGCGATGACATTACTTCTTTGACTTTTAAAAAGTGCTTTTTCAAGGCCAATTATAAAAGAATTTTGTACTTTGACTTTGACTTCGATTCCTACTGGACATAGTATAAAATATACCATGAGGTGGTTTGTGTTTACAGTCATGAGCGATATTTATCCACACCCGCAGCGGTATTGGCTCTACTGCATGCGTAAAATATAAGAAATGTAGATATTAGACTAGAAAGCTATTTATGCCTGCGACGCCTGCGGTTGCTTACGGTTGCCAATGTATCGGCAGGCAACAAGTAGAATCACGCTGGTCACGCTGCCCGCGTGATTTTAAGAGAGCTCTCATCTCAAGTAAGCTACCATGGGCCCACCCAATTTTTTTTTATAGGATAGGGTGACAAACGAGCACACAGCCCACCTGATGGTAAGTGGTTACTGTGACCCATAGACACCTACATCTAACCTCAATAAAGAATCAAACTGCAGATGCATTGTCATCCGTGAGGACTAAGATGGAATACCTCTTTTCCAGTAAAAAGGGTCTCCGGTTCTTTACACTCACCATACGAAACACTTTAGTGTTAAGCTGCTATTTTACGCTGGTATTCTGTGACAGCGTGTTCCTTCCCCGGCCGAGCCGTACAAAATTAAGATCAACTCCCACCAAGTACCACACAAACACTAAAATGGCAGTTCCTCGACCGCTGATTTACGTAAAAACATAGGTCAATTAGCTCTGAAACTAAAAATTATCTAGGAGTAGGCTATGCTAAGCAACAGTAGCGTAGCAAGATGAAGCGGAATTTTGGAAATAAAAATCAGCACCCTTCTATCATTTAAAAAGATAAAGCGTAAAAGAAAAATCTAAACGTATCATAAATTCTGAAAGTTTACTATTACTGGATGCAAGCATTGAATTTTAACTTGAGAACATAGAGATAATCTTCCCACATACGCTTGCTAAGTGTAGTATTATAAAAATGCATTATATTATTTTATGGAGGTGTGGCAGCGCTATCGTCGCACCACAAGCGAATCGCACCTAAACCTAAATCACTCTGTCAAAGTTCTGAAGTAATGTGCTATATATAGAACAACTTCGAACTATCACGTCGGGGTCACGACTTTGGCCGTAGAAGGGAAAGGGGAGATCTCCCACCGGGCAAGGTGTTAAGCCCGAAGGCGCCTGACTCAAACTCAATATGTGTTAGCGCAGAGCAGTTCTATATATAGCGCAAGTACTTCCAAACTTTGATAGCGTGATTTAAGATTCGGTGTGTTTCGATTGTTTTGTGGTAGTCGTAGTTTGGGCTCTAGCAGCAGTCTCGGACGGTAGTTCAAGACTACTATAACTACACCACTGATATGAACTATGCATAGGATAGAACCATGACGATTATACACTTTTCCATGTCTTACTGTTAGTCTTCGTCCTTATTAGTCTAGTCTAGTTCTATATTAAGAAAAAAAAAACACGCGATGTATTTATTTTCTTTAAGGAATTCATAGTGGAAAAAATTCAATAGTGCACTGGAGTTGTATTCTTTTTAATTTTTGAACGAAACAGCTTACTTCGTCTTTTGTAATAAGTACAGCAAAAGAGTGGAATAATTAGATGGTGTCTATCTTTTCATTAACAACTATGGCTTCATTACCGCCTACTACAAGAAGGGATTATAGTCAAAAACTGGCTTATAATCAGTAAGTAAAAAGTAAATATGTTAATAAGTAAAGAACTATCTAAGTTTTTATTTGTAAAGAAATCATAAAGCGAAATAAAATAGTATCATCATTCAATAACAAATAAAAATATTATCACAATAATTTGCTATATAAATATTCAATTTCATGTAATTATATAAATAAATACTATTCATTTAATTATATTTATTTATTGGTAATCCCAGTATTAAATCAATCCAATACGAACATATGCAAAGAATTTATTTGCCATATCAGAATAAATTCAATGCATGTCTCATCTCTATTATTGAGATTGAACTCTCAATGTAATTCGAGGGGACAATAAAAGATAGTGGAATGAACGATCCGTCTGGAGGCTTCATTAGTAGATAAAAATCTCTGACTGAGATTGACGTCCAATATTTATAAATGTCATTCTATAATAAATCGTTAGAGGTAATGTAAAAAGAAATGTTCGATTATTCTATAATACAACATCGGTGATTTCGGTTTTCATATTTTTCCTTATATGAAAACGCTTCTTATGTCGATTAAGACCAAATATTAGAAAATGTATGAATTAATGTAATTTATACTTCTTTAATAAAATAAAAGACGAATCCAATTTAAATAAATTTAAAATATTTATTTTATCTTTTTCTGTTAAACAACCATAAATTATACTTAATAGATTCGAAAAGTTTTAAACTCCGATGAAACGACCATTTTATAATTAATATTTAAAAAAATCAAAATTACAGGAAGATGTCTATTAAAGAGTAACTTTTTCGTAAGAAAAAAGTAAAAAAGCAACAAAATAATATCAAGTGCAACTTATTCAACCGTATCGGTAAATAACTCGAGTATTCTATTTGTCATGTATGTTAATTCAAATACTTTAGTTATTATTATTATTGTAATTACATATCTGGATTCTCACAGCGCGTGAT